AATATAAGTTTTGGTAGTATTTATTTAATTTTAATTTGAAAGCGTTGTTGTAAAAAACTCAAAATTTCAATTAAATTCTAATTCATGCCATAATAATATTATAAAATTAAAATTAATTAATTAAACTCACTGTAGGTACTTTTTAAATAATGTACCTGGACTTTTGGTTGTTATCTTTTTGTGAAGCTCTCGTATATAATTGCCACCTGTATTAAATGATACTACAGCAGTACAGCAGTATATATTCTAGTGGTGTACGACTGTTTTTGAGAAAAATTAATTCGTTTACCGCCTATGTGCTTATTAATGACACTATTAAACTGTTCGCAGATGTTGTTATCAACATCAAGTAATAAACTTTTTGCATTATCAGCAATACGTCTAAGTGCAGTTGTCATTTCTTTCATCAAACCACTTTGCATTACTTCGTCGATCAAATTCAGTTCGTATAACTTTCTTCCCGTGCAAATGGACTATTTAAAATATCCTTTCGCAAATTATATTCAATTTATAATATGTACCACTTTACCTGGTTGTGGCTTAGATTGTCTACATTGAATGATTTCTGTTAATTGTTATAAATGGTTTTTTGAGTACCTACCTATTTCTTTTTTTTATCATACCCAAATTGTTCGATAATTCAAGTAATACGGCCTATTTAAATAGTTTACAGCAAAACTACCTATTATAAAAGTTTTAGAGAAGAATTTTTTCAACAATTGAAATAAGCTCGATTTTTTATATTTTTATTAATAAGTTAAATAATTAATCGATAAAAAGTAAAAAAAAAAAATGTTAATTTACCATGCGATATTGGACGATTGGAATACGATATCAAAAATCGGATTCCTTACGATTGTTAAAAAAATTCTCCTCTACAATTTTTATAATAGGTATTTTTATTGCAAACCGCTTCAATAAGCCTTATTACACTATTACCTACTTGAAGAACAAAAGTATAGTTTTTATTTGTATAAAATTCGGATACGAATACAAAATATAAAATCGAACCAAATTAAATATTATTTGTCACAAAATATATAATAATCATTTTCTTATCTGGTTATTTATAAACTATGCACGGGCGGTCGGCTGCGATGGAGAACCTGTTTTGACCTTGGTGCGGTACCGCCGTTAATGCGCGCGGGGTGGTGGTATGCACAGCTAGTATCGAACGCTGCCACTGACTACGGGCGCAGCACTTGCCGAGCGTAATTTTCTGCAGTTTTCTTATAAAACATACTTTGCGCGTTCCAATAATATGGGTTACTGAGTGGTTTAATCGTATAAACACCTATGAACAAAATTGTAGAGGAGAACTTTATCTGGTTCCGTAAGAAGCCCGATTTTTGATATCTTTTTGCTATCATGAAATATATCATGATTAATAATACACTTTTTTTTCATTTTCCGGAAGTTAATTTTAGGACTTAGAAATGAAAATTTCAAAAATCGGGCTTCTTACGGAACCAGATAAAATTCTCCTCTACAATTTTGTTCATAGGTGTTTTTATGATAAAACCACTCAGTAACCCATGTTATTGGAACGCGCAAACATGTTTTTAAAGGAATTTTTCGAGTGATTTTTTTGGGTGACACGTCCTCTTAAGTAAAAACATTTGAAATTTGGTTTGTTGAATAAAATTAAAATGAAGGATGGTAATATAGATATAATTATTTAATACTTAAACATTTTTTTCTGAAGGATATCTATGTTTATATTTTATTATTAATAAACCAAAAACTGAATATATCTGTGTGGGGGCCCATGAGTTCATAATTTATGAAATATAAATTCATTAAATAGTTTATATAAATTAAATAATTACAATTTGTAATACACATTTCTCACATAACTATAATATTAATATAAGTAAATATATATTTTCTTCTCTTTCTTTATGTAAAAGTTGTGTAGGTAAATAATACAATATAATATGGTAATATAAAACTAAAATTAACAATAATTAAGTCGTACAACTAATATGATAAATAATGCATTAATCCTATACGTTGGTTATGACTTATGAGTCTGTCTATATTTTGTTCTTGTAATAGCTAGGGTAATTTTTATTTTAAGAATCTTAAAAGATTTGCTGTTTTTATTTTCTAATGGTGCCTAGTTTATTGTAAATTTTTGGACCAATATATAAGTATGTGGTTTGTGTTAATTTGTTGTGCATAGTTCGTACTTTGATATTAGATTTTTGTCTAGGATTATGTCTGTGTTCAGTTTTAAAAGTAAGGTTACCTACTTTTAATTATGTAAAGTACCGACACTTTATAAAATAATTTTTTTATTAGTAGTATATTCATGTCATTGCATAAATATTTTGTGTGGTATCTTGAGTCTTTCTTTTAGGATAATTTTTATTATTTTATTTTGTATTTTTTAATGGATCTATAGTTTTATCATACGTATCTCCCCATATATAAATAACATAATTAATTATGGATTCTATTAATGCTGGATACACTACTCTATTGTCTTAAGTTCTAAGATATCTGTTAAATTTCATTTTAAAGGCATACATAAGTTTTCTTAATTTATTTGTTACACATTTTGTGTGGTCATTTCATTTAAGATGACACATTTCTATAACTAAATATTAACAGTTTTTAACTATTTTTACAAAGGTTTGGCATGTTCATATTATATTTTGATTTAAACAGTCATTCTCATATATATATAGATTTGTTTTATTTGGTTGATTCAAATTAACTATATAGGGTGGTAGGTTTTTTCTAAGTTAAGGAATAAATTATTTTCACATATCCATTTTTGTATTTTACTCATGTCGGATTGAACACTAGCAAATACTTCATCCCATGATTGGACTTCAACAAAAAGTCCTGTATCATCTGCTTAGCAAACTAGTTTTCTGTGTGTATTCAAGTAATTAATTTGGTTTATATTATGTATATAAGTATATTAAACAGTGTAGGCGATAGTATTGTCCCTTGAGAGGTATACCACATATTATTGAAGTTTCTTCACTTAATTCATTGTTTATTCGAATGTGTATTTTTCTATTTATTAAATATGAACTTAATAAATTCTGAGTCGTTCCATTTATACCAAGTGTATTAACATTTTGTAGTAATATTTTATGATCTGTAGTATCAAATGCTTTTGCTAGATCCAATTAAAAAATTCCACATTTTTTTTTGAAAGAATTATAAATATCGCTTTATACTGTTGCAATTGCTTGTTCAGTACTTTTACCAGGTCTAAAACCGAATTGGGTACATGATAGAAGATTATTATTTTCAAGGTAATGGACTAATTATTTTAGATTCTGGGTGGAACGATGAATGTATTGGTTTTACAATGATGCGTGTGTGTTTTTTTTTTTTATTTGTTTTTGTGTCTGTTAACACGTCAAGTAGTCAAAATAATGCTTCGATTTTCAACTTCAGTATCTTGTTCGATGGGAAAGTGAATACTGTTGGTGCATTAGGGAGGTCAAAATTTAAAATTCCCAGTAATTTTCAAAAGTGCCTTGAAAAACTAAAAAAAAAATAATGAAAAACGTGAATTTTGATGTAACTTTAAAACAAATGACCTTAGACACATGGAATTTTCACTGGTTGTTTATATTTTAATTTTCTATATATGATAACATTTTCAAAATATTTTGATTTGTTTTGAGCTATTTAGGGACATTTTCAGTTTCCAATTTTATTAGTTTTTTTTTCTATGGATGTCAATAAAACTTTATTTGTTGAGTAAAAATACTTGAAAATTTAATACAAAACTCCTACCATAATTTGACAATGACATTTGAAGAATATTAAAAATCCTTATTAAAGACTCCTTATAAGATTATCTACTTTTATCAGAAAAAAAAAAAAATGTCTATAAGAAAGTCAAATTAAATTTTTATGAGCGTTTGAAATTCAAATTTTAGATTCTGAGTGGAACGCTGAATGTATTGATTTTACAATGATGTGTGTTTTTTTTTTAATTTTTAATTTTTAAATTTTTTTTGTGTCTGTCATCACGTTTTAGGACAGTAAAAGTGCTTGGATTTTCTTCAACAATAGCTTTTCTGATAGGAGAGTGAATCTAGTTGGTACTTTAGGGGGCAAAAGCGAATATTTCTCAGTAGTTTTGAAAAGCAGCGTGAAAAACAAAATAAAAATTAAGGAAAAACGGGAATTTTTACACTAAAACGAGAAAATCGATTTTGGTTTTTGGTGTATCTTTAACAAATGACCGTATAGATAAGTGAAATATTCACTGGTTGTTTATATTTGCATTTTCTATTATGATAACATTTTCAAAATATTTTGATTTATTTTGAACTGTTTACGCGGACATTTTCAGTTTCCAATTTTATTAGTTTTTTTTTTTTTTTTAAGAATATCAATAAAAATGTCTTAGTTGGTTAAAAAAGCTTGAAAATTTATTAGAGGGCTTCTAGTAAATTGTTTCAAAGGCAGATGAAAAATATTAAAAATCCTTAGTCACAGTTTTATTTTAAAAGCATTTAAAGTCCAAAAATTGACAAAATATTGAAAAATCACGAAAATTAGCAAATTTATTTTGAAAATATTTTGACTCTTTTTGAGCTGTTTACGGATATTTACAGTTTTCAATTTGTTTAGTTTTTTTTCTATAAATATCAATAAAGTTTTGTCTGTTGGGCCAAAAAGTGTAAAAATGATATCTCCTTCTTTACAAAATGTATGAAATTCCATCGGACACATATTATGTTGTAGCTGATACATGTCTTGAAGATAAATATGAGCCGATTTGGCATACTGAAAATGACCAGAAGAATAGAAAAAGGGTATCATTTTTTCTACACTCTCCAAGTGGAGATACCAATTTCCCATACGTTCCTCACAAATAAATTGACGTCAAAGATGAACTACATAAAAATATTGTATCCAAAGCTTGGATGTCTTACCTCTGGATGCAATATCTTTAATTTTATTTTCTAATTTATTCATACATTCTTGTAATATGCTTTGGTTATTTATATCTTCTAAAGTCACAGTGTAAAATCTGTACTTAAAATGTGCTGTTTTAGAGTTATTTTGAATTCTTCCGTCAAATCAAGTTCGTCCAAAATTAATTTTCCAAGGCAGACCTGGGTTAACATATGCGCCCGTACAGCTCTAGAATACGCATGTCCAGTTATCATTTTTTCAATCGAATTAGCTGCATATATTGTATTCCATAGTTCTTTTAGACCACTTCCAGCCATTATGTAACCAATTGTGCCTATAAACGACATTAAAAGATGAAAACCACCAAGACGTACTACAATTTGGGGTTCAGGTTTTGATTGTTCAACAATATTTCGAGCTTTGATATACAAGGGTCGATCAAAAGTCACGAAACACGTTTTAAGACCCAATTTCTTACTTTCGCCCGCCGCTTAAATTAAAACTGAATTTTTACAGTCGAGAGAACTTGGTGGTAAGTTAACAAATGGTAAATAAATTATATGAGCTCTTTGATATTCCTGAGAGTCAGTATAATAGCCTCCATAAACCCATTCCAACCGGGAAATTTTGGAACACCAAGCCAATGAGCACACATCCAAAATAATTCATCGAAAGACAAAGCCGAAGTATGATTTAATATTGTCGAAATCATGTAATAAAATTTTTGAATTTGTATTGTCTGATTTCTCAAAAGAAATAATCGGAATCGATGCAACATTGCTTATTGTTTCTGCAGTGATAGCTGTTTTTACTTTGTTTATACGTTGGTTCAAACATACGGCATCTGCGGGAACAACACATTGAATTCCGCCCATTGAGTGAAAGGTATTATATCCACCTAATGTACCGATATTAAAATCAGCATTATCAAAAACAAATTGTAAAAACTATTTCTGGCAACTTGGGGCTGTGGATAAAGTAATGAAGATGACTCAAAAACATAAACGTCGTTATAAGAAGCACAAAATCCAAAACTTGAAAAAATATCTACCGCACGTTTGGTTCCAAAATGTCTGTGTAAATAAAGACCTAGACTTAACAAAATTGTGGAGTTAAATGATCGAGGTCTACAACAACTTATAATGCTATGCATTTATTTTCATATTTATTTTTTGTTGATTTTTTATTTTTACCACAGACTTAAGATAAAAAAAGGTGGGCAAGTGGGTGTCGCTCTGCTGTACAGTAGGTTACAAGTGGGTCACTGTATAATGGATGGTATTAAATTTGAATTCAATGATATAATATCATTGTATAAGAAAAACGATTCTGAGCGGTGACGGTATGTCAGTCTATGTATAAGACATATTATATACATATCTATGGTATTAAACAAAACATTGACCTATAATAGGTACCTATAATAAATTCCAAATTAATCATATCACAATATCCATTAGATACTTATACCACGTTATACATCAACAAAAACCGTGATACTATCATAGATATATAATAGTAAACTTTAGAAGTTTCAAGTACCCACGAATAATATTATTCAATCACAACAAAATAACTAAAATAGTTATTCTAGGTTTTTTAATATGTAATTTCGTCCAAATTTGAATTTAAAATGTCTGTAAAAAATAAGTGTGTTCATATATTTTTTAGATTTTTTGGTTACAGTATGAACTATTTACGAGAACCTTTGTGTTGAATTTGCAACCCTTAGCTATAAAAACTGAACATTTTATAATTTATTAATTACAATGATTGATAATTTTCGAGATTTTGATAAATTTTGTCAAAATTTGATCTTTAAATGCTTATAAAAAAAAACTGTGCCTATGTATTTTTAATATTTTTCAACTGCTATTGTAACAATATATCAGGAGCCTTGTATTAAATTTTTACACTTTTTGGCCCAACAGATAAAACTTTATTGATATTTATAGAAAAAAAAACTAAAAAAAATTGAAAGCTGTAAATGTCCATAAACAGCTCAAAAAGAGTCAAAATTGTCTGGTGTATAGAAAATGCTAATTTAAACATTGAGTGAAATTTTCATGTATCTACAGTTGTTCGTTTTTGAATTGCAACAAAATAAGGAAATCGCTACATGAGTAATCGAGTGAATATCCAATGTTGTAAAAATTTGAATTTCAAACGCTCATAAAAATTTAACTTGAGTGTCCGGTAGAGATTTTTTTATTGATAAAGTTAGATAATCTTATAAGGAATCTTGTGTTTCATTTTCAAATCTTAGATTTAAAAAGAAGAATTTTTACGAATTCTTAACTCAAAATAATTTGCTAATTTTCGTGATTTTTCCATATTTTGTCAATTTTTGAACTTTAAATGCTTATAAAAAAAAATTGTGACTAAGGATTTTTAATATTTTTCATCTGCCTTTGAAACAACATATTAGGAGCCTTCTATTAAATTTTCAAGCTTTCGCAACCAACAAATAAAATTTTATTGATATTTCTAGAAAAAAAACTAAAAAAAAATGAAAAATGAAAATGTCCCTAAACAGTTCAAAATAAATCAAAATATTTTGAAAATGTTATCGTGTATAGAAAATGCAAATATAAACAACCAGTGAAAATTTCATGTATCTACGGTCATTTGTTTTAAAGTTAAACCAAAAACCAACATCGATTTTTTGGAAAATCGATTTTGCGTAAAAATTCCCGTTTTTCCTTAATTTTTATGTTGTTTTTCCCGGCGCTTGAGAAAACTACTGGAAAATGTTTACTTTTGACCCCCCAAAGTACCAACTAGATTCACTTTCCTATCAGAAAAGGTACTATTGAAGAAAATCGAAGCACTTTTACTGTCCCAAAACGTGATGACAAACACAAAAAAAAATATAAAAATATAAAAATATAAAAAAAAACACACATCATTGTAAAACCAATACATTCATCGCTCCGCTCAGAATCTAAAAAAAAGGTGGGTAAGTGGGTGTCGCTCTGCTGTACAGTAGGTTACAAGTGGGTCACTGTATAATGGATGATATTAAATTTGAATTCAACGATATAATATCATTGTATAAGAAAAACGATTCTGAGCGGTGACGGTATGTCAGTCTAGGTATAAGACATATTATATACATATCTATGGTACTAAACCAAAATCTGACCTATAATAGGTACCTATAATAAATTCCAAATTAATCATATCACAATATCCATTAGGTACTTATAACGCGTTATACATCAACAAAAACCGTGATACTATCATATATTATAGATATATAATAGTACACTTTAGAAGTTTCAAGTACTCACGAGTAATATTATTCGATCACAACAAAATAACTAAAATAGTTATTCTAGGTTTTTTAATATGTAATTAAAGTTTTGGTCACATCAGTTTCTACATTTGTCAAAAACTGATTAGGCGGAGCAAAATATTCAAGATCATATGGTATTGATCTGATATCTTAACGTATTATAGTAGCAGCTGTTTCTACAATTCTTAATCGTTCTTCTTTCGTATCAATTTTTTTAGAATCATACCACGCATTCGTCAATACATTATACCCCGTGTTTTTGAAACAAACTACTGATTTTTTTCTGATTGACAACTTCATTTTCCTCATAATGTTCAAAAATAGACTCCGAAGGTAGTACATTTTTTACATAAAGGGTGTTATGGGTGTAGCGAGATATATTTATGTTTGGTATAACGTCTGAATCTATATCAGAGTACATAGTTCTGAATGGTATCATATAATAACCTGCAGACGAAGCGGAACATTGTTCACTTAGAGATATAATTCCTGTACCATAAATTTGTTTAATAATTTGATTATAATTTAAACAGGTAATAATTAAATTTTGTTGATTTACTGTATATCCATGAATTTGCCGACATCAACTTATGGAAAATACCGTGTTTGATTGACGTGTATTTAAACTTACAAACATTTTCAATGTTTGCTAATTTTGTATTAATAATTAAATTTATTTCGCAATCATCGGATGTTGTCACCCTCTGAGTTACAAGATTTTTACATACTTTAAAATGTTTTGTGTCTTAGCACATACTAACTTCGTTTTGATCTAAGTTAACATAATACTCTTGATCGATAGTTAAAGCTAAATGATTACTCCTAGGTTTAATGAACATTTAAATATTGATTTCTATTAACATTGGGTTCGGTATAATAATATATAAATTGTATAAAGTACTAGAAACAATTGGAACAGTATTAATAAACATTATTATATCATTATTTCTAACAATAGTTGTTTGCATAATTTTAAAAATCTCTGACATATCCGATAGGTCTAGTTTTACCGGGATGTCTAAATTAGATGGAAGGTTTAATTTAATTGGTTTAATTTCTTCTAATAATTGAGCTGAGGATATTACTAATGGGTGTAGTTTTCCCTGTATAGAAAAATGTAAAATTTGATTTATTCTCATTAATTCCGAAGAGTATTGTTTATAAATTGTTTCTAAATTTAAAATTTGGTTTTTAATTATTTTTTCCATATTATCATCGTTAAAGTTATCCCTGTCGGAAGTAATATAATGTCATATTTCTGATATTATTTGAAACTTCTGTTGTTGCTTCTACTGTTTTTTTACTAAGCAATATCGCTTCGTTCATACTCGCAGCAGTGATCATCATTTTATTTTCTACTATGTTTTGAGAATTTCTACCGTTTTTTATCATATTTTTTATATTTGAGTACCATTTGGTAATATCATTTAAGCTAATTGTCCCAAACAGTGTATAGATTATATCCCCTAAATTTTTGGATAACTGTCGTTTATTTCTTAAATAATTTTGTCCTTCAATTAATTTAAAGATTTTATAATAATCCGATTCAAATTCATTTAACATTTTTTCTGAGGCTGCCTTAAAATCTATACAAATGTCATTTGTATGGAATTCTTTCTTAAAACAAAAAAAATTACAATTATTTTCAAAACTTTTAGCAGTTTCATCACAAAGTGATGACGTTTCTTCTTATAAACTTTTAATTTTTAGGTAGTGTGTAATGTGTATAATAAATTTAAATATTTAAATATACTGGGATCTCCCAATTAGCTGCAACCGTGCGTATGTCGGAGATGAAATCAAAATAAATTCCGGATGATTCTTTGATTTGTGGAATATTATGTAAAGAGTCTGCTTTTATAAAGCGTACGAATGCACAAAGTGCTCTGAAACAATTAATATAAGTAATATTTTAGATCTTTTAATTTTATACTGTGGTGAGATAATGAGTTTTGACATATTTTATTCGATTATTATTTATATTATGAGTTAAACATTTTTAATTCGTTTTTGTGTATT